GACCACACAAATACAGTTTAATCACCATGGAGCCAAAGTCTTTACAGTCAGTTTCATACGAATGGGCTCCATGGGACTCCCATCTGGGGTATAACACATTCAAACAAATCTACTGAAACCCAGGCAGAAAAGCACGAATACAGCTTTTCTGCAGGCAAAAATAAAGTCTTTTAAAAAGGGGGCCATAGTCCAAAGGCAGCAGGCGAGCAACCAGGCTTCTCCAATGCAATGTGGCGAGATTGGTCTCGTCACATCTCTCCCCTTTTCCAAACAGACTAATAGGGTATCTGACCTCCTGCCGGTCAGTGCCCTTGTTAGTCCAGCAGCCCACCCACAAAACATAATCAACAGCACAGCCCACCCACAATAAATGGTTACTGCACCTGGGTAAAGGAGAAGCTTGTCCATGTCCAGGTGCCTCACCACGGCTGTGCTGGGTACGGGTACGCTGACTGGGTGGGTTGCTGCGTGGGCAGAGACCAGCGGCACTCTGCCCTGTTGCCAGCGCTACTGGGAGGGTAGCCTGGTTGTTGGAGGGGGAGACCGACTGTCTCCCCTTTAAATACACCGCTCTGCTGCTGGAGACCGACTGTCTCCCCTTTAGATACACAGTCCTGCTGCTGGAGACTGACTGTCTCCCCTTTGGACACGCAGCTCTGTCGCTGGGGGGCAGAACCGACCGTCCCTACCCCCTGTGCTGGCAGTGTAGAGACTACGGTCCCATCTGCACCGTTGTGGGGCTTACTGTCTCCCCCTGGTACATGAAGCTGCCGCTCGGGAGAGGGGGTAACAAGCTCCTCTCCCATATATACTTCCAGCCGCGGGGGAGGGAGACCGACTGTCTCTGCTCCCAATACAGAGTCCTGCTGCTGGGGAAAGGAGACTGGGCTCTCTATTCCCGGTAGGACACTCTGCCGCTGGGGAATGGAGACTGGGCTCCCTATTCCCTGCATATCACACGGCCGCTGGGGAATGGAGACTGGGCTCCCAATTCCCTGCAATTCATTCTGCTGCTGGGGGACAGGAGCAACTATCTCTGTCCCCTGTAACTCAGCCTGCCACTGGGGAATGGAGACTGGGCTCCCAATTCCCTGCAATATCTCCCGCTGGGGAATGTAGCTCGGGCTCCCAATTCCCTGCAATATCTCCCGCTGGGGGATGGAGACTGGGCTCCCAATTCCCTGCAATTTCTCCCGCTGGGGAATGGAGACTGGGCTCCCAATTCCCTGCAATTCATTCTGCTGCTGGGGGACAGGAGCAACTATCTCTGTCCCCTGTAACTCAGCCTGCCGCTGGGGAATGGAGCTCAGGCTCCCAATTCCCTGCACTATCTCCCGCTGGGGAATGGAGACTGGGCTCCCAATTCCCTGCAATTTACTCTGCCGCTGGGGAATGGAGACTGGGCTCCCAATTCCCTGTATATCACACTGCCGCTGGGGAATGGAGACTGGGCTCCCAATTCCCTGCATATCACACTGCCGCTGGGGAATGGAGACTGGGCTCCCAATTCCCTGCATATCACACTGCCCCTGGGGAATGGAGACTGGGCTCCCAATTCCCTGCATATCACACTGCCGCTGGGGAATGGAGACTGGGCTCCCAATTCCCTGCAGTACCTGTCGCTGGAGTTCTTCCCAACGTGCCAGCTGACCTTTTCTTTCTGCCCGGTGTTGCAGATTCATGAACACTAGGTTCCTCATGGACTGCACGTGTTTCTCAGCTGGATTGGGTCCAAAGAAGTTCAGCCGCAACCACATCATACGGTCATACTCTCTCATAGAGTATCTGTACTCCACTGCTGGTTCCATCCTGGTGCTGTCAGGGTCGCTGTACTCAGACATGCGTTGCCCTCAAATTGTAAAATCCACGGAATGGTGTCTCCTGTAGCTGTCCTTCTGGCTGTAGGAACGATCCCAGCGCTGCCACCAATTGTAACGGACCGTTTTGCAGAAAAGGGGAAAAAAACGCTTAGACGATAATCCCCTTTTTAGAGACAGGCACAGCTACTGTAGAATCACCAAAACTCACGAACTGGATACAACATAGCACTCCAACTCCCGAACTGGAACCTCCCAAATAGCTGCTAGCAGACGAACAGGAAAAGCAGACAATCAGCTTACACTCCTGGCAATCAGTCTCTAACAGCATACAGTGAATCCCCCTAAGAACGAGACAAGGCTCCGTGTTGAGGGTCAAGCAGTGGTCTGAGGTGCTGGCACACCCAGCCTGGTTTTTATTACAGTGTTTCAAATACAGGACCACCCACAGGGAGGGATAAAACAACCAATCATATCACAGTTACATCCCACATATTTCCTCCCCTTATCCTGAGAGGAAACTCAATTATACAAACAGTTAAAACATACTTTCTACCCAACTTTCATAACTCCAAAACCATACATCACATTCACATAAAATTACATATTCTCAATCAATCCATTAAGGGGAACAACATATTCAAAAATGGCACAAATCAGACAAGGGGTTCAACAGTTAGTAAAAAGTCCTTTGTGACTAAATGAAGCATGGCTTTCTGGCCCAAACCAGTTTCAGAGTCTTCTATCCTGGAGATAAGTAATTGAATTATCTCCCAGGACAGACACACGACTCCATTAAGCACATGGTTGCAAAAAGACACAAAGCACTTTAAAATACATAAAGTCACATTTATACATAAAACACAGACATTTCACATATCCCCAGATAGCTCAGGTCCGAGCGCACATTATTAAGTGAATGGCGCTCGGACCACACAAATACAGTTTAATCACCATGGAGCCAAAGTCTTTACAGTCAGTTTCATACGAATGGGCTCCATGGGATTCCTATCTGGGGTATAACACATTCAAACAAATCTACTGAAACCCAGGCAGAAAAGCACGGAATACAGCTTTTCTGCAGGCAAAAATAAAGTCTTTTAAAAGGGGGCCATAGTCCAAAGGCAGCAGGCGAGCAACCAGGCTTCTCCAATGCAATGTGGCGAGATTGGTCTCGTCACAGTGTATAAGGGATGTATTGTGTGTTTCTTGTTGTGTGTAAGGGATGCATTGTGTGTATCTGTGTTTGTATGCATAAGGGATGCAAAGTGTGTTTCTGTGTATGTAAGGGATGCAGTGTGTGTGTCTGTAAGGGGTGCGTTGAGTGTGTGTAAGAGATGCATTGTGTTTCTGTGTGTGTGTAAGAGAAGCAGTGTGTGTTTGCATGTGTGTGTAAGGGATGCATTGTGTGTTTCTGTGTATATGTGCAAAGGATGCATTGTCTTTATGTGTAAGGGTTGCATTGTGTGTTTCTCTGTGTGTAAGGGAAGCATGTTGTGTTTCTGTGTGTATATGGATGCATTGTGTGTGTGTGTGTGCGCGCGTGGTGTGAAAGAGCTCCCTGTCCCCCTGTCCTATAGAGCTCTCCCTTCCATTCCTTAGAGATCTCCCCTGCCCCTTAGTGGTCTCTCCTCTCCCCCCCACCTCCCTTAGTGGTCTCCTTTTCTCCCAGACTTTCCATTAGTGGTCTCTCCTCTCCCCCCATCCTTCCCTAGTGGTCTATCCTCCACCCCCCTCCCTTAGCGGTCTCTCCTCACACCCCTCCCCTAGTGGTCTCTCCACGGCCCCCTCCCTCCTTTAGTGGTCTCTCCCTCCCCTACGTTCTCATCTCCCACCCCTCGTGTTCTCCTCCTCTTCTCCCCCCGCCTCCCTGTGTTCAGTGTGCACTTCCTGTCATTCCGGCCGGGTCGCGGACCGGAAAGGAGCTCGGCCACGCTACAGGGCAGGGGAGGTGAGGCACTGCGGCAGCCGCCTGAGCGCTCTCTATAGAGCGCTCAGGCGGCTGCAGAATTTAAAGGGCCGGCGATGGGGGCGCAGGGCGCCCCCTCCTATATGGCGCCCTAGGCGGCTGCCTAGTTCGCCTTATAGGAAGCGCCGGCCCTGTGTGGAGCTGAATTAAAAGACCTCAGTTGACTCTCAGAACTGTGTTTCGTCCGGTTACTGGGAGGTTTGGGATATTGCCTTGTTGTTTCCAGCGCTTGACTGTGGATTACTTCCTGAACCAGCGGAATTCGTGGATTTATTATTGGCGTTCCGCTACAATACATGAAATAGCCTTCCAGTGGGAGCAGTAACAGTGATATAGAAAGGGTAGCAGATACCTGGAATAGCCTTCCAGTGGGAGCAGTAACAGTGATATAGAAATGGTAGTAGATACCTGGAATAGCCTTCCAGTGGGAGCAGTAACAGTGATATAGAAAGGGTAGTAGATACCTGGAATAGCCTTCCAGTGGGAGCAGTAACAGTGATATAGAATGGGCAGTAGATACCTGGAATAGCCTTCCAGTGGGAGCAGTAACAGTGATATAGAAAGGGTAGTAGATACCTGGAATAGCCTTCCAGTGGGAGCAGTAACAGTGATATAGAAAGGGTAGTGGATACCTGGAATAGCCTTCCAGTGGGAGCAGTAACAGTGATATAGAAAGGGTAGTAGATACCTGGAGTAGCCTTCCAGTGGGAGCAGTAACAGTGATATAGAAAGGGTAGTGGATACCTGGAATAGCCTTCCAGTGGGAGCGGTAATGACAATGATGAATGATTGGGATGTGTATAAAACTTTATCAAAGAACCAACCACAAACATCCTATTTTATGTTGGGATAATTAACTATCTGCTTACCAGTGTCAGCTGTCTATATTTCAGTAATGAAAAGTTTACAATGAAACAATTTCACTAAATCATTGATGGGAGAACTGGGAGTGATAATAGAGAGCTGGGAGTAATGAGAGTGTGAGCTGAGAGTGATAAGAGTTGGGATTTATGAGTGAAAGCTGTTTATCTGTTAACCCATTATGATTCGTATTGAGCTCTGTTGTTTAACTCTTACAGAAAAACCTGGCGTGTGTCCTGCACTGCATAGCGTGATAATGTGCCCCGTACCCAACCACCCCGCTAATTGTGGATCGGACGAAAACTGCCCTGGAAATAAGAAATGCTGTAACATTGGATGTAACTTCAGATGCACAGATGTCTAAGGTGAGGAAGGTCCTAATCAGAGGGTAAACATCTGTCACAGCCCTGGAGAGAGGACAGATAGGGGGGTATTATGCAATAATCAGTAGAAGATATGGGGTGCTATGTCCATCAGTAAAAGATACGGGTTGCCCTTCCACAAGTAGACAATTTGGTGTGCTGTGCAATCAGTAGAAGATTTGGGGTGCTATATCCATTAGTAAAGGATTTGGGGTGCTATGTCTATCAATCAAAGATTTGGGGAGCTGTGCAATCAGTAGAAGATTTGGGGTGCTATATCCATTAGTAAAGGATTTGGGGTGCTATGTCTATCAATCAAATATTTGGGGTGCTATGTCTATCAGTAGAAGATTTGGGGTGCTGTGCAATCAGTAGGAGGGGTTCAGGCATTCATTGTCAGTGGTCCATCACACTGAGCCATTCCCAGAGATTCAGAGAGTGTGGGAGGCAATGTTAGAATAAATGAGGTCCGCAGAAGGTGTGAGGTTCTATGAATGTCAGTAACACAAGCTGTAATGATGAAGGCTGCGTGATTTGGAAGATCCGTTTGGTTTTATCACCGTATTAATAAATGATTTTATAATAAATACTTTGCCTTTCTTCCAACAGAAAACTAATCTCTATCCGATAACGAGTGACGGATGCTGCATAGCACATGGCACACTGATGGCATGCCTCGTGATCCGTCCTACTATCTCTCCGCTTGGGATGGACTGTGTCCCACCAATTCCCATCCAATCATTGCTAATTACTGTCGCTTGATGTAACTGATTCCAATAAATAGAAATATCATCACTCCATTGTGAGACCCTGCTTTCTGTGTGGGATTACAGATAGCACATAATGGGATATTAGATACAAACAGAGATAACATTTAACTGCTCTCCACCAGCCCACACACGTCCACCCCATCATGGACTTCTTCATGGTTAGAAAAGTAGTCTCCTATATTCTCTGCATTCAAATATGATCTTCTGGGCATTCCCACAAAGGCAGACTGAACGACTTTATAAAACGAATACATTCAGCTTGTAGTTTGTCATTCTTTTTCTCCACCACTCGTTTCTATAGAGTTTGAGTAAGTTAGCTGCAAGATTGTAACCCAGAGCCGATCATGTCCACAGTAAGCCATCCATCCAGGGCTGCACATTATTCATATTATTAAAGATACAGTGTTTTATTCATTAGGATATTTTCTTTGGATTCCTCTTTTAGGATTCAGCAATATTTACACCCTAGGGACGTTGATTGATCACTGAGGACTTGACGTTCCTCTTAGACTGTAATTAGATCAGGATTGGGGCACTTTAATTACAGGATCAGATGGTGTCTATTACATATACCCTAATTAAATATTAGATATTTCCCATGTCACAGTCCATCCCCATTTCCCCACCTTGTGGCTCAAGGTACTGACTGTGACGGAGCTCCCGTACTCA